CCGAAAATTAAAAATGCATGGAATGCAGTAATTGAGAAGACGGTTTAGCTTATCAAGAGGGTTTGTATTAAGGTCGAAATAACACACATCACCATAGTCAATAATCCGTGTGGTGACGAATAAGGAAAACGGAATGCCACCACCCCTATTCATCCCGACTAAGGCAACAAACTGCACAGGACAACAGCACTGCAAAACGAAGGAAAACTTGAAACAAACCCTATACCAACCCGTAGGCCAGCGTGGTATAGTAGGCCAATACCTCCTTTCTAAGAAGGGGCCTATGTGCAGCAGTGGACTATTATAGGCAGTTGATGACCATAGTAGTAGAGTGTAGTTTTAGTTTTAGGAGGCAGGACTTTCTTGAAACTATACAATGTTTGCAAATTGCCAGTTACATTGAGCTGAATGGAATAATTAAACGATTGATATTAACAATTTATTGATGAGATAGAGGCAGTATCCAATTTGCTCATTATAAATTTGTTACCTACTACAATTGCCTGACATTTGGTTGGATTAACCGACAGTCCGACAATCTTAACGACCAGGTTTTTATGATCATAAATAAGTATCATATTTCTCACTATTAAGTAGGTTATACTTTTATACGCCGTCAAATAATCTATTTTAATATTCTGAAGGTTCTTCACGGTATTGATTTCTCACAAGTATATCTGTTTGCGGCATATAGAGATATTTAGAAAAAAAAGTTCATGAGTAGTATCTTTAAATATATAGCTGACACGTTTCTAAACCTCTTGATAAAAGAACTCTGTCAGGCTCTGAGCTGGTTAGAATCCTCTTGGATATGCTCAACATGTCTCTATGATAATACATCTCTTATTATACGATATTAGTAAATATTAAAAGTTTTAGATTTGCCGTAATCTCAAACGTTTTGAACTGAAAATTGTATTTTAAACTTGGAATACGCCATTCGCAATTCAAAATCGTTTGATGTTTCCTGCCAGTAAATGAATGTAGATTTAAGTATACAGCTGGCTGCTTTGGCTATGTAAGCAAGAGATAAATAATCTATGATCACTTAAAGGCGTTTGTACTACGTTTTAGCCCTTGAGCTTGTTCCATTCATCCTTGTTCTCAACACTTATCCCCTAGTAACAGGTATAGAATAATTCTGCGTATCGTCCATAAATAAAATGGACTTAGGTACAAAAATTAACGTTTTAAGAGGCAATCGAAAGAAAATAGTTACCCTCATTGTTATTAGCTCGGATACTTGACTGTTTTGGATAAAAAATATTTTAACTATATGGAAGCCTCGGGATATACTCGACCATAAAACAAATAGCGCTTGTTTTGAATTAATGTATTCTTAAGATCTACACAAATTCATGATTGAATTCGTGGTTAAATGGAAAGTCTTGAGTCAAAATGTATACTTGACAAAACTTTATAAAAATCAACTAAATAATAAAAGTATTTTAATAAATGGAATCAACCATGCTGATAATTCAAAAATACTTGTTCAATATTTCTTAGAAATACAAGGATTAAATAAATACTGTTTGAATTAAAACCAAAGTATTCCTTATTAATCGTGAACTCCTCGAACTAAGTCAAAAATACTTACATTAGAAAAGTTCTAGTCGGTAGTCTACTGAGTAGAGCTCAAACTCTCAACAAATTGATCTCAGGTCAGATGTTTTTAAGCATTTACCGTTTAATATTTGAGATCGAAATAGTTCTCATACTCATAATAACAACACTGCAAATATAAGGAAAACTTGACACAAACCCTATACCAACCCGTCTCAGCAGCGTGGGTGAGATGTCTATGTCCAGCAGTGGAATATGAAAGGCTGTTGATGTGATAAGTGTGATGAATAACAAAGCTCAAACGCCTCCTCCCTTGATTATAGGAGGACGGTTCAGAGGACTAGGGTAACTCTGGCCTTGGCCCTCAGGGTTGCCTCACGTCGTCACGAGCGTATGGTCTGCATAGCACGTGATGGCGACACCATCCAAGGAGGCACCACGAAGCACCCAATCGTAACGGATGTTCCACAAGAGTGGCCCTGACATTTCACGTCTACGGAGACCGCTCCTACTTGGGTACCTATATTTCTCCACTAACAGTTGTAAAATATGAACGTTATTAAAAATATTTATTGCCAATTAACTGTACATAATTATAGTCTTATAATTCTAACAGTTTTTCTCAACTTGCTAGTTACTTACCATCAGATGACCATCCTGCTCGTTTGCTCTTCTATACCATAGAAAAAATGAAGTAATTCCCAGCTGTCAAAGCAAATAATTACTTAATATCCTTATGGACATCTAAGTGAGTTTTATAAGTAAATGACAGGATGCAGGCGAGTCTAAAGGGTTAATGGGCGGAATTAATCTTTGATTATGTTATTAATTATAAGACATCTTCCTTTGATGTCATGTGGACCTTTTTCTAACGGGACTGTTTACGTGAGAGGTTATTAACCTACTGTAATTAAACGTTTTATTTTCCTAACCGACTATGCCAGAAGGATAGTTATTATGTTTTTTGAGTGTACGTGTATATGTATGTATATTTTTTTGGCTTCACTTTGATTAATTGCGGCGTTTGATATCCATATTAATTGTGATAGTGAGGCTGGGTATGTGAAAATTACAATAATAAAAATTTCAAGTTTGTAATTTTTATTGTACAGTTTTACGTAGTCGGGTTTTTGTATTTTGTCAATAATGGGCTTGTTGATCTTTATGGTTATGTAACTTTATTTATAGAAATACAAACAAAGTTGACACTTGGTTAAAAATTTAGTTTGAAAGACTATTTGTTAGTCGTATTAAATTTTTTTTTGGTTGTTAATGATGACATAGATTAGTAATGCTATTTTGTTTTATTTCTTAATCGATCTCCCTGCCCCAGTGGACTTTTTAATCACAAGACAGACATCGGGAATGTTTAATGAATAGAGAGCTATTGCAATCTTAGTACCTTTTACCATTTTAGTCTTTTAGTAATGTAATGATGATGAGAGCTAGGTTGGGGTCAACTTTAAGTCTACTTTGATACGGTTGAACTTCGATTGTCTGCCATCAGACCACCACAAACTAAGCACTAGGCGATTTCAAAGTTCTGTAGAAAGACTATTGTTCAACATTTTTTAGGTGTCCATCTACCCGTAACGATTGCCACAGATGTTCTTATGGCAACCGGGACCCACGACTTCTCTAAAACACGAGCGATGATTCAATTTTTTTAGTATAGTGTAGTACGATACGGTATAGAGTAGTTAGTAGTATGTAGTGTAGTGTGGTAGGTGATTTTTTTAATCAACAAAAAAAACATTAAACTCACGACTCATTTGAAATCAGTTTTAAAGAATAGCTGTAAGTGCTAATTAAACGCATGGTCGCGTTATACAATGCTTTGAGTAGCCGTAGCCGGCTCCTTCTAGCTATAAAGTCCGACTTGTAAAAATATCTGAAAAGATTTACTTACAGAAATAAATATCATTTATCATTTAGTACGCCCGCTGAGAAACCACACAACACATTTGAATTTATTCTACACTAGCTGAGACCCGCGGTGTTACCCGCGTTTGTTGTTATAACCGCGGGCAAAGCCGCGGGGCCAAGCTAGTCTAAAAAAAGTAGCCTAAGTTACTCCTTATGTCATCAGCTATCTGCCAGGGAAAGTCGGTCGATGGAAATCGGTCAAGCCGTTTCAGAGATTACCCGGAACAAACAGACAGACAGACAAAAATTGTAAAAAATGTTATTTTGGCATATGTACCGTGTAAACATACATATGCATTTAGTAAAAAGCGGTTATTTTAATATTACAAACAGACACTCCAATTTTATTTATTTGTATATATTTAGATAATTCGTAGACACACTGAGTAAGATAACCTGACCACAAACTAGTAACATAATTTATTATTTTTTATTATTTCAATATAAGCGACTGTAATTTGCAAATCCTTAATATGTTTACTAAAATATAAAACCGGGCGATCTTGACCTCTTGACGGAAAGGCTACTTACTGAATAAATCAAATGTCAAAGTGGACATGAACAAAGTTTGGGAGATACCAGCCGAAATTAATAGGGTAGATGACTGTCAGTAAACGTCAAACCGATAGGTTCGGTACTGTTTTGTATGGAATAACTAGAGATGCCCTACTTTTGTCAAATAATTTAGTAATTTATTAGTATTAGTTTGAAAATATTTCTATTATATTAAATTATTATAGTTTAATTATCTACCTAATAATGAGGTTTAAATTTAAATAATTTTAGAGGCCAGAATTTATATTTAATTTGCATGTAATTAAAACAATCAACTTAATAACGTTAATGAATAAACAGAACCTGGAAAAACTTAAGGCAATCATGTCTAAGTTACGAGGTTTCACTTAATTAATTAAGTCGAAAACTATAGCTTGTAAATTAAACGAAGTCTCAAAAATCGTAAAATTAACCTTTTTATTTTACTTACAAATAGTATAAAAATAAATTCAAATTAAGTTGCTTAAAATAAGTCTGTCTGTAAAATAACCCTGTCTAATAAATCTAACTAAAGTTTAAGCTTTAAGTTGTTAGCAGCGAATGCACGTTGGTAGTGTACCGGGTGTATTCGAACCAGCATCGATCGAACTCCTTCGATTGTTAATTACTTTCAGACTACTTTATGCTGGTCGGAAAATAATAAAATGAAAAAGATAATCATTGTTCTATGAATTTTAATTCCAGCAAACATTACAGTCAACATATGTTCACTTAGGCTCTCTCTTATTTACTATTCGATAACCAATAACATTAATAAAACGTCACTTGTAAGTAAGAATAAAGTATCAATTGAATTTCGTCGTAACTAAAAGCTATCAGTATTCCATGCAATTTAATCATTGATATACTAATGTACAAAATAAGTTGAAAGATAAAAGAAAACAAAAGGATCTTACTAAACGTCTTCCTTTCCTTTGTTTCAGATAAAAGTCGTCCCGATGTAAAAACGAGCAAAAATGGATCTTAAATATTTAATCTTAATGATTGCCTTCGCGACAGTTGAAATCAATGTTACTGAAAGTCGTCAGAACGACAAAAGACGATGGAAAAATGACAAGGTTTATTCGCACTACGTTAATATTTGCGATATACAGGACAGAGGTTCTAAAGTTCATTGTTACTGTGAAAGCATAAAAATAAAAACTGCAACGAAGGCTGACTGTTGGGTATTCAATGGCGGTATAGCTGAAGATGATCCGTTCTGGTCCAATTTTTATTCGCAACCGAAAATAGAGAAATTAACATTTAACGTCAGAGCTGACGGCGGACTGACATACATACCCGCAAAAGTAATTGTTAGATTAGAACGATTACAATACCTTAATATACAGTATGCAAATATTTATAGTATATCATCCTTTGCATTCACAAATTCAACAACGCTGAGAGAAATTACCATGCCCAAAAACAAGATAGGCAGACTAGAAAAGATGTCATTTGCCCATCTGATAATGCTATCAAATGTCAGCTTAGTAGAAAATCAGATATCCGAATTGAAACGGGATGTGTTCTACGTCCTACCCAATTTACAGAGGCTATATCTGTCGAGAAACATAATTAGTGTCCTTCACGACGGTTGTTTCAAACATCTAAATAACCTCATAAAATTGGACATAGACAACAATCAGTTGACAGTCGTCATTAGGGAGAACTTCCAAGGCCTATCTAATCTGATCACGTTGGATATGAGAAACAATAAATTAACGATGATAGGGGACCTTGCCTTTGCGGAACTTTGGAGTCTTCAAGAACTTTACCTGGATGGAAACGAAATAGAATTTATATCCGAGAGAGGTTTTGGGGGATTGACTCAACTGCGAAAACTTTCGCTAGCCGATAATAAGTTGGGGACATTAGACGACGGTGTGTTAGACGATATTCAAAAGTTGAACGTTTTGGATTTGAGAAACAATAATTTAGATACATTGAAACAAGAAGCCGTACAAAATGTTTTGGAAAACTTGAAGTCGAATTACGCATTAATCTCTTTAGACGGTAAGTTAATCTTTGGTAACTTTGTTTTCTACCTTTACCTAGACCCTCTGTTTAGATTTCCTCCCAGTACTTATTTAATAAAATAAAATGTGGGGAATGATGAAGAGTGACATAAGGGGAAGTTTTGCGTCTAAGCTTGTGTTCCAAAATCCACCACTCTCGATCACTCGTTCTGAAAGAATCCCAAAATGGCGAGGTAGTTGAACAACTTGCAGCTTTTACTATACAAGTAGGCTGTTTGCAGATCAATTGATTGCGACTACTTATTAAGGCGTTTACCACTCCGAAAATCTTGGACTAAAAGTGTATGACTCTTGAAGTAAACATTATAACTAAAGTTCAAGTTAAAAAGGTCAATTGGTTAGAACAAATAAGACTCATGATCTCTAAAAATATATAAGAACTTGAGTGATGTTACTGTAAATAAAGACAATCGATTATGAAGATAAGGTATTGTCTTTTTGAAGATATTACATCTTGCTGTTTAGTACTGAATAATATTTCCATTTCTTCTTATTCCGAAACTCGGGGCCCAGTATTCTCCTTACCTAAACCTATTATCATCTGTGACTACAATGAATCAGTCGTTGAAATACTTTGTTTAAGTGCCCTGTGACAATTTAATAGCAACTATATTTTGCGGCAGGCTAGATTTTATATTTTCCACAAAATGGGCGAGCATCGCAGTCGGCTATGATTTAATACTCTTTGTCCAGTGTTAATTTGTTTTTGTGGCTGGTTTACTGCAGGATAAACAAACTAGGATTAGTTTGTTTATTTAATGTTTATGCTTCTGGGTTTTATGCTTTGTGTTTCGGAGAGGAAAACTAGTTAAATTATTATTTATGGTTTTTATGAATGTTTTCAAATTTGATTTACATTTGATAAAGGTGTTTAGAAGTAAAATTACTAGTAGAGAAATATAAATACAATTATTTAGCGTATATTTTATATTTTAATTGTTATTATAATATTAAGAAAGAAGTGTTGAAACTTAAAAAAATATGCGTTATTAAATTTTATCAATCAATTCTTATGATAGTTTAATCTTGTAAGTAAGAACAATTGCTTGTATTTTCTGTAAGTAACATATTATTAATTGCATCATTACAACTGCGATTCATGAATAAAAATTACGATGCAATTGAAACATTGTACTAACTGAATATTCAATACAAAACTAGATTATACTGATGCAACAATACCTAAAGCTCCACGAGGTTCATGTTTTTAAATTAACGTGCAGATGTTTTTCTTTATTGTTTTTATGTAAATAGATAAACTGTCTATACAAAAAATATTAAAATTATTAAAAATACTGAATATGTTTGCTAAAACATTATTTTGTTAATATTTTGACGGAGGATTAATAGCGAACTTCAAATTTTTTTAGCGAAATTCAATAACCGTAAATGTATTCAATCACAAGCTTTATTTTGTTTTGGGTTTTTCTTGTTTCGATTTGTAACCGTTTTAAATGTAATAAATATTGCATACACGGAAAGTTCTCAAAACTAATAACACTGCTATTTTACCAACAGGTAACAAGCTAACCTGCGACTGTCGTTTGTCCTGGCTGCACAAACTTCGAAACGAAACCAAAAGCAAGCGTGTAAAAGCTTCGCTGTCACGCCTAAGCTGTATCATGGACATTAAATCAAATCCGTTAAGTGCGACCAAAGTAGAAAAACCACAAAAAACAATCCAAAGTGCATACAAGAAAGACATAGATTATGAAGAAGATGAATTTGAAGATAGACATTATGATGAAACAATGCAAGACCAAGAAACAGATATGGATGATACAACGAGTAAAATAGAATACAGACGGAAAATACTTGCAATACCTACAGAAATGTTACCTTGTCCGAACCGTTTAATATATGAGGCTTCTTACTCTCCACCGACACAAGATGAGGTCAAATATTACAAGACTTCATCAAGCTTGCGGATGCAGGCAACGACTTTAAACTTGATACTAGCAATTGCAGCAGTATTGTAGCAGATGAACTGAATTGTAAATAGTTTTGTGATTTATACATACATTTACTAGTTACTCACTTTTAATCCCTTGCTTAAGGTAATTTATCTGATTTGTGTAATGTTTAGGATCTATAAGGATTTATTTTAAGGTATATTATGGTATTATTTTAAGTGGCGTAACAACTTATGTACAATTTTTTTTCGGACATGTAAAATACTACCTATATTTATTATGGTCTAAATACGAGTAATACATAATTTTGTAAGATTTAAGCAGCCTTCTTTTTTAATATAATTGATAGTTTTATTACATTCTGCTGTTCACTTGTTTATTTCCTTTCTGATCGCCGCTGATCTACTACACATTCTACGGTACATCTTGTGGAGGTATAGGTTTAGTAACGGCGATTATACAACCGATCTCAGTGTATATAACGCTAAGAGTTCGGTAACTGCAGCGATGAACAAGTGTGCTTACTTTCTGAGGCCCAAGTGCCTCTGTTGAATTGGACCTCTGTGTAGTGATGAGATTTTTTTACTGCATATTGTAAATCGATAATTACCGAACTACAAATGAATAGGTAGAACAAGTATCGTCTTTCTCCTGTGTGTACTACTCCTAAATAACGGGAACGTTTGAGATTATGTGGAACTAATTGACTGAGTAGTCAATTAGTGGGGATTTCGATCGAACAGTCTAGAAGAAAATAAATAAGTGGACAGAGTCTTACTAGTTTTTGTTTATAAAAATATCTAGCCATTAGTTTAGTTATAGGAATTGATAGTTTTAGGTAAATCGGAACCAAAACGTTTATACTGTAAATACATTACAGTTTTACTTAGTCTATAGTTTCTTTGTAAATAACTTTAGGCTTATCTAATATTTACATTAAATAAAGCGTCTGTTTTACACCATTGATGTAAAACTAGAAATGTAAGAACTATATAGAAATCAACCACTTGACTTTTTTTTTAAATATGATAGATTTAAAGTATTTTTTTAGTAATATTAGCTAAATGTATCAATCGGTAAGTTGAGAACGATCCTTCAAGCGACTTATGTTATGTTTATAGTTTTAAATATCTTTCTAACTGTAAAATAGTAATTATGCAAAATTATTATTAGGATGTATATTTCAGGTTATAATGGCTATTAACAAGGATTACTACGCAAACATTTTAGAAGTATTGTGTTACTACATATCGTCTTTATTCGTTCTGTAGTCCTTAAAAAAATCAAATATTTTTATTACTACACATAGGAAATGATGAATTTCTAAGTCATCAAAAGTGACATAGATTAAGTTTAGTAATTGTATTTATCTTTAAACATAAATGTTTATCCTTAATTATTTTTACAAAAATATACACTGCACGGATGGCGATGTGGTTTAAGCGGTCGCCACGCCGCTTCCTTCTACGTGGAGTGTTGTGGGTTCTAACCCCACATGGGATAACACTTTGTGTGAAGTACAAATTGTTGTTCTGAGTCTGGGTGTTCTTTGTGTCCGTTTCATGTATGTTTGTAAAGTCCCCCGCGACACAGGATCTATTCCTAATGCGGGCGTTGTTTTTATTAATATAATAAATAAATAAATACAATACTAAAATCTTAAATTTCACTAACCAATTTATATCATTTATCATCATTTTATAGTCTTCTATTACTAAAATAGGTGTCTGCAGTAGATATTCTTTTTGCGAAAAAGGCTTTTTCTGTTCATAGATTTCTTTTATTGTTGCGTGTAGACAAAGGTTAGATTTTGTAACATAGTTATAAAGGAAATTTTGGATTGATCTGCATTTGTATTCACCTCTTCCTCAATAAATTGTATTCTTTATGGCCTTAATCTAAAACAAAAGAATTGTGACGGTTACATTCAGAAATAATTTCTCTCAATGTAAACAAATCTTTCAAAAATATGTTGACCATCACTGACAACATTGAATACCTGTATTTGTTAACATACAATTGTGACATCAGATTAAGAAACTCCGTAAGTGAGCTTTGAGTATTAATTACGGAGTAAAAATGTTAAGTTAGCTTTCTCAAGATAAAACCATTAAAAGAACACTGCTAGTTCTACTTTGATCAAAAAATATAATAAAATTAGTTATTATAGAGAATATATAATACCTATATATTATATAAATAGAACAGATGTTGTTTAAATAAATTAAACAAATCATCCAAATGCCGGATATGTTTTACCAAAACCGTTTAGCAATCCCTTTCAGGAGTATTGTACCGTTAATTAAATTATTATTGGCGGCCTAGAGAAATCCAATTTTAGAAACTTGATATTCTGTCGAACGAAATACACCTGTTAAGTTTAATTGAGCCTTATTTTTATTGGGCACTTGGCCTCTGTTTCAATTAATAAACTGTATTACTTAGAAGTTGGTGAAATGAATTATCGTACTTGTAAATTTATTCATAAGATAATAGTGATTTGCATACCAAATATTTTATAAACAGAACTTTGTTGTGTTATTGTTTATCGTATAGCAATGTTCGTGAGAGCTTTGTTCTAACGCAATGTAAATAAACACGTCATCTATCTATTCTATGCAGAGTGTGAAAACAATACATTGATACTTTTCCAATTTATGTGTTTTATTGAAATTTCTATATTCATCGAACAGCTATTGTGAGAGATTACCACAGAACTTACGAAAGAACAAAATAAGGTTCCAAATTTGAATAATTTGAAATTTGTTTTTTTTTACACGGGTATAGTGCCCCATTTGAAGTATTAAGTTTAGTTCTTTTGTGAGAAGATACTTAGAACAGAATACAATATTCTTTATTGTACACCAATTAGAATATGTTAGATAAATATTACAAACGGATATGTACAATGGGCGGCCTTATCGCTAAAAGCAATCTCTTACAGGCAACCTTTGGATGGACAAATCAACAGTAGATGAGAAGAAACAATGGGTAGTCTAGGTGTATTGGAGCTGCAGTAATGTAAAAATAAATATATAAATTATATATAACTATACATAGACACACATATATATACATACATAAATAATATATAAAATATATATCAATAACCATAATATCATTTAGTCATATACAGTTATTGAAAGCAAAGAGTACCTGAGAACCTAAGAAGTGATCTTTGACATTATTCTTAAATGCTGTAAGTGTTTGGACACGTCTTATGGATATCGGCAAGGCGTTCTATAATCTGACAACCTGCACTGTGAATGACTTGTCATAGAATATGGTAGTGTGGCTAGGTACCATTAGCCCCAAAGATTCCGACGACCTCAAGGATCTTAGATATGTGTCACTGAGGAACACAAAACGTTCTTTTAAGTAATGTAACTTACACAGTCACAACAACTTTTTCTATACTTGTACAGGTGTTCATATACTACATATATTTCTTTCGATAGACTCGTCACTTTGAACAAATGATTTTGTTGATCAACATTACTCGTATCTAAATGTAAGTTCGTGTACTGACTTAAAAAAAAATAATTGCAGAATCAGAATAAAATCTAGGTTACATTTTGTATGTGATTTTCATCTTATAGTCATTATATTCTTATTTAAAGTTTGTTACTAGCTAACATTAAAACTAGTATATGACTATTCTAAATCGTGCTAGATTGAATTAAAGATAGGTAAAAACAAAATAATAAAATTATTTTAAAAATGTTTCGCATGTACGGTAAATACGTAAGTATACCTAATAAACATAGGTAGGTACTTGGTTATTCAAAAATATTGATTGCTTATCAATATATTTGAATCTACGTATGGACTGTGTTATGGATACAATAGGGACATCATAGAAGCGAGAGTGCGTGGAACTCTGCCGTCTCCTTCTGCGAGCAAGTTATGCTCGCGAAGGAGACGGCGGAGCGGGACCGGGAGAGGTTTAGAACTCTCCCGGCCCGCCAGGCCCGGGCACGGGCCAGGCAGCGCAGGTCACTCAGGCGCCGGAGGTCGCAGAACGACCTCCGTCCTCCATAAGCGCAGGCCTGGGGGTGACAGGTGAGGCCATCTGTCACCCTAGCAGAAGCAGGCCGGGGTGGCGGCGAGCGCGTTGCGAAGCGCGCTCGCTTCCAGGGAGCACAGGGAACATGGGGTTCCCACACGGGGCGGGGGTCGTCTACTCGTCTGTAGATGACCCGAGGTATGTCGGGGCACCAGGGCCTTCCTTTCTAGGGTATACCTGGTTCCCCGGCTATTAGTACCCGGCGAAGGCGTGCGGTTTTAGTCGGTTCGAGTCCGACATGCCACCGACAGGTGGTATCCGAGGGGATTTCCGCACGGGAAAAAAAAAAAAAAAAAAAAAAAAAAAAAGGGACATCATAGAGGAGTGCCTTGTCGTCGCGGAACAGTATCATATTTTATTTAGTAAGTAATATGTATTACGTAAATATAAAATTTTCTGCTTCGTAAGAAACCTAGCAGACAAACAAACTCTAACTGAACCTCTATTATATTGGTATATTAACCCAGTGACAATAAAAAAATTGAAGTCGGCGGAAAAACGAAAAGGCAATTAGCATAAAGTGTTTTCAATTGCTGATAAAAGTTTCAATTATATGATCAAAATAATTGTCTAACACTACTTTCTTATAGTTAAACCGCCGTAAGCTTGGCCTTCCTGATGGTTTGCGGGACGCGGGGCGGATGATGCGCTCGGCTATACATGACACGATGTACTAACTCGATATCTTCAGATTTATTTGTTTGAGATTTAATCTACTCACGATGTAATAAAAATCGAATTTATTTCCATGTATTATAATGTCAGTGTATTGTAAGTTTTTATGATTAATTGTAAAATTTAATACTGTAAAATAATTTTAATAAAATCACCTTATCTTCGTCATGTAAATTATATTCAGATACAATTTTAAAAATTAAGTAAAATAATAAATATTCTTTAATAGAACTTTAACAGTAGAACCTCTGTAAGCCGAACTTCAAGTTTTTAAATCTTTTTGTGACGCAGAGTCGGCAGATTATCCATGTTGCAAAATAATACC